AACGCGACCGTACCTGGGTACAATATGACGGCGCCGAGAAGTAATACCAGCATGGAAATGGACTGGAAGCTGAGAGATGTTATTGGCAGGATAATCACCCACCTGATTGTCTATGGCAACAGTGATACTTTCATGCAGGTCGAGACACACAAGGTCGTTAAAGCTAAAATGATGAAAGCTATAGAAATGGCCAAAATGCGGGGCAATGACCTTGAACTTGAAGAAAGAGATGAAGACGCCTTTGAACGACTGGATTTGAACTTAGGCAAAGATCTTGAAAATGCTGTTGACTGGGAGATGATGAATATTCTGAAGACGGTGTATGATGTTGCAATGCTAGAGAGTTCCAACCTTACCATGAACCACACGATGGAGCTGCTAGAGATGGCCCAGCACATCCATGCCTACAGGAAGCAAGAGCTGTGTATGTCCATGGTTGGGGCCTGGCAGTGTACCTCTAGTACCCTAATGCTGTTGCCGGAGTCTGTTCGTGGCATGGTCAACCAGACACTCAACTCCCTCTACAGTATTACTGGACACTTCTGTGAAGGTAGGTCATACTCTCTGTAAATTATACATACATACATTATGTAAAGATGAAATGCCGAAAGATTTCTTCTCTGTGAGAGGATAGACTGATATAAGTGTCGATTATTAGGCCAGCGACTGGACAGTACTGCTCCATAATGGACAGGTTCAGGTAAATAACTTGCTTCATTGTTCATTCTTCTATATAATGTATATATAATGTCAAAACAAAACGATGACTTCACAAGTGTGTTTTGAACAACACTCTACAATGGTACCAGGCACTTCTGGCAACACATGGCATATCTCTATCATTTCTACAACATAACTTGGAACATTTGTTGAGGTAGATAATCTCACCTGCAATTCTAGGCCATAAACAGACACACTTGGTATGGTAGATGAGCTCAGATTTATAAAACAAAGAAACCTATGTGACAGTTTACAATATTTTTACAGAGTTGAAATGCTATAGCTGTGACGATTTCCACGACAACGAGGCCTGTAACAAACAAGCCATGGTGACATGTAAACCCGGCCAGGTATGTAGCTGTCCCCAACATTTAATGCTTATGAATTGTATGGCCCTGTTTTAATTGAGGATCCTGTTATGATATATGAGGATAATGTTATAATAATTAATGGACTTGTTATGAAGTTGAGGTTCCTGCTTTAAAGATTGAGGGCTCTATTTTGATAACTGAGGGTCATGTTATGGTAATTATTTATCACAACAGGATCCTCAATTATTACCAAAACAGGATCCTCAGTTATCATGTTATAAACCTCAATATGCATACCCTCCATGTATTGGCTGTCATGATGAAGGGACCTGTTATAACAATTGATGGTGCTGTTAAAACAATAAGAGGTCATGTAATAGCAGTTGAGGGTCATGCAATAACATTTGAGGGTCTTGTTAAAATAATTGAGGGTCATGTTATGACTTTTGAGGGTCCTGTTATAACAATTGAGGGTCCTGTTATAGCAATCTATGATAATTTAGGGGTCATATTAAAATAATTGATGATCCTGTTTTGATCATCGAGGATCATTTTGTGATACCAGCAATTGAGAATCCAATATGATAATTGAAGGTTCTGTTATTGCTGAGGGTTCTGTTGGTATTGTAGGTATGCTTCACTCATGTCGACAACGGTGAGATGAAGAAGGGATGTGCTGCCCCAACTATGGGAGACTGGCAGAAAGATAAGGAGATGTACAGTACCTGTATGGGACACGGATGTAACCATCCTAAATTCGGAGCCAGGAAAGGTAGCAACTTTAATATTTTTCTGTCTTTTCTTTGACTCAAAAGAATGTTAGTTAAGATAATTTCATATTTTGAAAATGAAATTTTCGAAATTAATCATGACAACACACTCGTCAATAAATCTTGTGTAAAATGATTTTTTTCAGAAGCAGAGAATGAAATGTGCCAGCCGTTCAAAGCCATTGGATGTATGTATGAACTACTACCCACCATGCTACAGGGACAGGAAGTTGACTACAGGTAAAGCATCCTCACTAAAACTAGGTCACTGTTACCATGAAAAGTACAGCATGTATATAAAGGAACATTTATGGTCTACATTGACATTCACTAAATTGTTCCTTTAACTTGAGTTATCGGCCCATAACCGCATTTTCCACAAATGAAACAATTGTTTGACATCAACAGTACATGTTTGTGGAGTTGACTTTTGCTGTTAATTGTATTGAACCGATCACATGCTAATATGTTTTAAAAATCATATTTGTAATACTTATAGACTATTAACTCATTCACCCCTGAACTTTCATAAAGAACTATTCCAGCCTTTGAATTAGAAGAGTTCAAATGTGTCTTCAGGGGTGAATGAGTTTACAGATAATTTAAAATCTGCCAATTTAAAAGTAGAATATTTCCCCAGATAACTTAGAATGTCTTTGATGCTAACTGTTTGACCTATGTCTTTGATGCTAACTGTTACACCTATCTGTCCTCAGGGAGGCGTACAAGGCATTCCACTGTATGGAGTACTATACCTCTAGCTGTATCATGGAGGAGCACAGAGAGCTCAGTCGTATGGCTCAGCGGGTCAAGGTCGCAATGACTGATGGACAGTGCTCTCAGCCTGACTTCGTACACACTTGTGGCCTTTCGTCCATCCTTGAACTTGCCGACCTCGTAAAAACTCCAGCAGCTAGCAGGAAAACTATCTGCACGTAAGCAATTTTGTTTTACCTCACATAGAAATCCAGTAGTCTGAATGGTCCAAAGAAATTTTGCAATAAATGGAAATATCTTATCCTAAATGGAAACTTCCTGAAAAACTGTGAAGACGAGGAAGTATGTCTGATTAACTTGATATGCAACCCATGTTAACATAACCATCACATTTACAACGTACAACTTGGAACTTATGTTATTTCTATTGACCTACAACCATTAGGGATTATTGGGACATATGTAGGTATAGGGGTTTATTTGAATGAATGACCAAAAGTCAAATGTTTTATTTCTGTCTTAATATATACCAAAAACTCTGTGTACTGTGTTAAGTTGATAAATGTGTTGCCAATATTTTTGAAATACAAAACACAATTCAAGATTATTAACTTGTCTCTTCCAGCACGCTGAACCAGACTGTGAGCAACGTTATGCTTGCCAACTACTGGAACCAGTGCACAGAATATGAGATGGTTATGACCTATAATGAATTAAATATGATAAGCTCAGTGATTGGCCCAGACTTCTGTCCGGGAATCGATCCCCGCAACCCACAGAAATGTGCAGAAGAACGCGCAAAACTCCCACCCATGTGCAATTTGGAGGAGGCCGTTGGTAAATGTCTTTATGAAGCAGACGTATTGCACAAGATGGTAGAAATTCTCGGAGACCCTGAAGAATGGAGAGACATGGACTTCTTGTGCAGGTTTGTGTATTAGGCAGCCTAAGTTGGTAAAGATAAGATGTGCTATCCGAGACGAAGACTTGTTTGACTTGCTTCGTTTCAATATCTTGATGTGTTATTTGCTGTAAAAGTGGATTTATTCACGATGCGGAAATGCTTGCATTTTTAGTAGCGAAGCGTGGAAATATCACACAAAATATTTTGAAATTATTTAGACTATAAATGTATATAATAAATATACATGTATTACGGAACCACTGCAAATGTGGGAAAGTTCCACACTGCAATCAGTTTAAAGTGTCGCAAAGCAAGCATTCCACATGCGAGATAATCCACTTGATATTACTGTAGGCCAGGAAATTATCGCCCTTCAGCGGTAGAATCCATCTAAGCCCATTATTAAATTCGCCCTTCACTTTTAATTACTGTGTATATTCTATTGTTTTCAAATGTTTGCTGTACGAAAAAGGCAAAACATTAAAACTGCAGCGCCTTTTTTCACGGTATGCAGTATGTGTATACCACTAAGTGTTTTCTGTTACGATCAACTTCAAGAAATCCCTGTTAACAGAATTAAACAAGAAATTTGATACCTATCGACATCTAGTGAAATCGCAGATTATACGATATGATGTTAATATGATAATAAGTTCTTGTATTTAGTTGAAATTCAGTAGAATCACCAATATGTGTATGTGAAATCATATTTAGATTTGACATTTAATAATCAAACAGTATTTTCTAGACCGATTCAAGATTCCGAAGTCATATTATTCAATAATTACTAAAAACAATTTGAATACCTTTTTGAAAAAATGAAACAATTTTCCAGTGTGTTGGGTACCATGGTGTGTTTACTCTCTTTTTCAGTCGCCTTGAACATATGCTTGGATGTGTCGGAAACTATACGTCAAGTTGTGATGACGCCCAGATGCAATATGTTCACCAGATCGTTGGGGAACGTATTGGCAAAGCAATCCCTCATTGTCCTTCCCTAAACATCGAGTTAGCTATGTGCGATGCTACGCCTTTGTCAGAATACAATTGTATGATCTATGAGGGAATAGAAACCTGCTTGCAGCCGACAGAAGTTTACAAAAACCCCTACATCCTATGCAGGTTTGTATCTGTTATTCAATGAAATTACCAAATGGAATTAAAAAGAGTACATTTGGTAATACATTTTTTAATGTATCTTACTATTTACCTATTTTTAATACCGGGTATGTAGTATAAAGTTAAAAATGACAACATTTTAAACTCTTGACTCTTTGTTGATCAGTGTATTGTAATACAATTTGACCTCTTGAATTTAATTTTTGTCTAATCTGGGTATTGTAATACAATTTGACCTCTTGAATTTTGACCAATCAAGGTATTGTAATACAATTTGACCTCTTGACTCTTTGTTGATCAGTGTATTGTAATACAATTTGACCTCTTGTCTCTTTGTTTATCAATGTATTGTAATACAATTTGACCTCTTGAATTTAACTTTGTCCAATCTGGGTATTGTAATGCAATTTGACCTCTTGAATTTTGACCAATCAGTGTATTGTAATACAATTTGACCTCTTGAATTTTGACCAATCAAGGTATTGTAATACAATTTGAATCTTTAATTTTGTCCAATCTGGGTATTGTAATACAATTTGACCTTCTACATTTTGGTTGCTCAGAGTATTGTTAAACAATTTGACCTATTGACTTTTATCTGATCTAGGTATTGCAATACAATTTGACCTGTTGACTTTTGGTTGATCAGAAAATTGTAATACAAATGTACAATCTGAACTATAACCTTTGGTTTGATCAAGGTTGCTTGAGTAATACATGACTCGGTACTGTTGACAAGGTGCAAGGTATGACTTGCTGTGACATTCGTACAGGCCAGAGGATTTGTATGAATCGTGATACACGTGATTTATTTAGACAACAACACCGCTGACTCACCTTTATGTGACCTATACCGTGATTTTGTTCCGTTATTTAAGAAAAAAAGACCAGCAGACTTTTACCTTAACAATTTGGAATTTCTTTGTATTGTAGTATGAATGAGACCATGTTCGATGACGTTCTCACATGTCTGCACGGTTACACTAAGCACTGCACAGCAGTCCAGGCTCTTCCTGTAACATATATTGTTCAGAACTATATGGCACAATCCTTGATCCTGTGCGGAAACCACAGCATGGCAACGGAGATCGCACAGGGCATTATCAACCATGAACAGGGCGTTGCCATGGAAACTATGATGAACATGATGATGGGGAAGGCTTCGGGCATGATGCAGGATAACGAAGATGCACCCATCACCTCCCTTGTCAATGTCATCCTGTCACTGAAGACCAAGATAACAATGACTGGCAACGTGACCGACATGTTAATGGCATTGATGAATGAAATGGGCGAGGACAAGGAGGAGGGCATGAAAGGTCCTTCAGACAAGATCAACCTCATGTCAATGATGAAGGTCAGCATGGGTATGGCTATGCACGTTTCGGGATTAGACACAAAGAGGTAGGTACATGTTTTTATGCTGAAGCAGTGTTACTTCATCACAACTCCTGATGATAGAGCTGATTAACAAACACAAAAGTAAGAAATGAAAAATGACTACGGTAAATTAAAATTACTCAGAACTCTGTCTTTAGTGAAACAAGGTAACAGCTGTTTTAAAAATCCTTACTTTTAAAGATTCTTAAAAGTTTTCAGAATATTTTTTTTTTTTTTCTCTTCACCTCAATCTTAAATTAAGAAATGCAAGCAGCATATTGTAAAGAAAAAACCAGTAGTGACACTGTTTTTATGCTCCCCCAATAAAAATCGAGGGGCATATATTGTTACCCTATGTCCCTCATATTCTTGTCCGATTCTTTGTCACAGCTCTACTGACTTCATTTTCTAACAGATTTTCATCAGTTTTTACCAAGGTCAGGTATGATCATTCCTTGGATAAGTTTGTATTTCAGAGTCCCAAGGTCAACATCAAGGTCACTCTTGCTATTTATAAGTCAACCATTGCTTTTTCGACAATAAATTCATTATTGTCATCAGTTTATTAGAGCAGGGGGACGTACATAACCTACAGATGTTTTCTAGTTTCACATATTTTCCACTCAGGTTTGATACTAACTTGTTTCACTCTAAGCTGTTTATAACTCGGATTTGTTACAGAATATACCACACTGACGTAACCCATGATGTGGCTCGCTGTGTCTCACAGTACTCAATGGCTGTCCAGAGGCTGCTTCTCTACCCCGAAGTCTCACACCAACTGGCATGTGAGAGCAAGGCTGTATTCCGGAAATGTTTGAAAAAACTTGAACTTCCTCCAGTCGCTAACATGTTTGTGATGGCCCTGGAAAGCAAGGTAGCTATGGAGTCTGAAAGAGATTGTAATTACTATCTAGATGATGTCATGCTTCTTGGAAGAGATATCGCTAATGTGACGTCCCATATGAGGATGATCATAAACGCAACCGGAGCTTACGAGAATGCTACGGCTGCTGCCATCGCTCTGAAGCTGAACACTACAATTTTACAACGTGCCAACCTGACGAAGGAGGAGCGTGACCTCATCACAACCATCATCGGAATGATGTCCAATATGACATCTAGGAACAGGTCTATGGATGGTCTTGAGGACGCACCAAAGGAAGTCGTGATGACCTTGATCAAGGGTGTGGTGTCACAGTTCCGAGAAATTGTTACTGGTAGGTTTACGTGTGTCAAAGCGTAATAATTATTTTGAAATGTTTTAAATTTTTGATTGTATTATAACATGGCTTGACTGTTTTATCTGTGTCGATACTTGTTTGTTTCAGTGACTTCCGACTGTAACGCTTGGATGATTTCGCAGCACATCACGTTTGCCTATATGCAGGTCTTGACAGGGGCCTTTTACCCTTACTCCCAGTATCCAGGCATGTGCAGGTTAGTAAATGTCTAAACCATACAGTCTTGTTAATATAAAATATGATAGCGCAGAAAATTTACTTAAACTCTGGCTGGCTGAAGCCATAGCTTAAAACTTGGCAATTTATAGATATCCACCAAATATCTCCATTCTTTTAATTGTATTATTTGGAAGGGTTGCCTCAATGGTTTTCCAATGGGAAAATTATATAGAAAAGAAGTTTCCTGATTTTACATAATCAATATTTACATGCATTGAATCCCAATATATCATTATTTATGAACTTTACCTAAATCAATAAAAAATATATGTATGTATTTGTAGTCGCAAGCATTTGACAGAATGGCTGTTGTATAATTTGATTTTAATTCTAACTGGTTTATAGTTACTTTAACAGGTGTTTTATACCGAACTCTTTCTACAAAAACCAGAGTAAGCCAGAGCATATCGAACTATAACAGACCTATTATTGCTTGTTTTATGTTAGAAACAATCTCGAACAAAGAATAATACTGTCTTATATATAAATCATTTCAATGACAATTTTTTTTACTGGAAAAGAGTTTTAATTGATATAATTGGCAAGTTATACCTTCTTGAAACCTGTGTATAGTGGCATGTTGTATTATCATGTATATTGTATTCTATCAAATATTTTGTAAGTGTGCCAAATCATCAATATGCTGTTAAAATTCAATAATGCATTAAAATTTCAGTGCAAATAAGTACATTTTACAGTTTATTTAATGGCATTTTTTTTTAATGCTAAGTGAGTTTCGATATTACCATTAAGTTTTTCTTTTTTTCAATTATTCAGTAGTATGTTTCAGTGAGATTCAGGCATTTTTAATCCAACATTCAAATACTAATAACTAAATATCTTTATAATAATGAGACTGAAGTTTGAATTATGGCATTGTTATTTTCCAGTAACCTTAAAACAGTGTACGAAACTTTGAAACCCGAGGTCCTCAAGTGTCCTGTAAACTACCAGGTCATGTACGATCAAGCCCTCACGTTCCTGCACTCCGAGACGAGCGAGATCTGTGACCTGCCTTACATAGATAACACACCACCCACCACATGTAATGCCGAACTTGTCAGTCATTGCATTGTGGATCTCATGCCCTTGCTGTCGACTGCTGGGACTGAACGCAAGAGGCTGTGCATGTATGTAAAAAATTTCATTTAGGCACTGATGAACAGAGTCTGAAACAGGCTTCACTGATTTTCATGAAACAAGATTAAATAAGGGTCTGTATTATCATATGACATGGGAAAGGATTCTTGATATTACATCAGAGATTTGACGGACACATGTCAAATATTCGACCAGAAAAAGCATGGAGGAAAAACCAATTTTGTCTCTGCTCCTATTTAATGATGTCATCACATTATATTGTCCCCTGTGGCATCACAGTTGATTTTATTATATGTTGCATGTCAAAAATTTCTGTGATGGATTTAATAAATGACAATGTATTTGATTTGATTATTTTCAGGGCTGTTGAGCAGGCTTCCCTATGCATGGCATATGGCCTTCGACATTGTAACGATACCCAGTCATTGGCCCCGTACCTTCAATTTGAACACATCAAGTCGATTGTAGCCGACAGTTGTCCCTACCTCACGGCTTCGATGCAGTGCTTCAATAACGACGATATCATTACGGGAAATACCCAGCTCTGTAATGTAACGATGGCTTCGGAGTACTGTGCCAGTTTAGTTACTGGTTCTACAGACCTAGACAAGTGCAAGTAGGTTTTATCCTCTAGTGAAATTTAACATCAGGTCTTAACATAGTTCTGATTACCTTAAAACAAGAGTTTTGTAGAGATTTTTTATTGGAAGATTTTTCTGAATAAGGAAAATCTTAACAATATTGCTTGTTAAATTTTGAGGACAATTAGCAACATGAAAAGATCAATTATATTTAGTTAAGGACATTGAGAGATTTCTTTTGAAAAAAAAATGAAAAATGAAAAAAAAAAATTGATTGAGAAATAATTTAGGTGCTTAAGTTATGAAAAAGAATGTTGACATAACAAATTCAAATTTTGTAACTTGGAAGTATTCCTCTGCTGTAAACTTAGAAAATGTGAGCTTACATGATAAAACAGGCTTTTCTACCAGGTATATAAGACTCTTCTTCCACTTTTCAGGAAAATTCCCGATATGATGAACTGTTTGTACCGGTACACGTCAAGCTGCAGTGCTTTAGAAATGAATGTAGCGTATACCCACTTACACATTGTACTGGAGGATATCGTAAACGTCTGTAACAGTGACAGCATGATAAGTGCGTACCGCGAGGCGACAAAATCCGACACGTGTAACCAGGCAGAGCAGTGCACAATAACTCAAGTGGCTGCCCTGTGTGGCCCTCTTATCCCTGCCACTAATTCGTTTTCATCATGCAGGTAATTTCTGACTGTTGTATTTATCCTTCAATAAGGCCATGGGGCTTACACATTATCACTTTACTCAGAATACAGAATAAGGGGTGAGGGTGTGTGTGTGTGTGTGTGTGTGTGTTATTACAGGACGATAAAATAACACTTGTCAGCATTTCTTACTGAACTGCAATATATATGGGTGAGCTTATTACCAGGCATGGGCTTATTGCCAGAAAAAATACAGTATATATTTGATTTAATTTCAATATTACTTATAAATCACTATAAAACCTGGTGTTTCAATGTAAATTTGATCTCTACCTAGATGTACATAGAGGGTTTCATTTTGGGACCTACTTAAACATAGATATTTATGTTACTGTGACCTTTGTGAATGACCTTCACCTGTTATGACCTTACATGGATGATGATCTAAACATAGATATTTATGTTACTGTGACCTTTGTGAATGACCTTCACCTTTTATGACCTTCACATGGATGATGATCTAAACATAGATATTTATGTTAATGTGATCCTTGTAAATGACCTTCACCTGTTACGACCTTCACATGGATGATGATCTAAACATAGATATTTATGTTACTGTGACCTTTGTGAATGACCTTCACCTGTTATGACTTTCAAATGGATGTTGATCTAAACATAAATATTTATGTTACTGTGACCTTTGTGTTTGACCTCCACAAGTAGGATGATCTAAACAGAGATATTTATGTTACTGTGACCTTTGTGATTGACATTCACAAGTAGGATGATCTAAACAGAGATATTCACGTTAAATTGACATCTGTGAATGACCTATACTTGTAAATAACATTCAGCACAATGCAGCCTTTTTTATTATTCAAATTTCAGTTCATTCAACAATTTGAACACCTGTTTGACTGGCCTGATCAAGGGCTGCAACACCTTGCAGTTAACCATGGTACATACAGGATTAAGTTCGATGCTATCTAACGCCCAAATGGCTTGTATAGATGTTGTACCTCTCACATCAATGATTCAATATGAGAAGGATGCAGCCAGATCCGTCATCGCTTGTGTAAATAACTACACCCTGGAAATGACCTCGGCACTGATGAACACTGACGATGCCCACCAAGCAATATGCACTGCATTTGCAAATTTGGGTCAGTGCTTTACGGGAGATATGACAGAAGAAGCAGCGGCAGAAGTGTGGCCCTACTATGGTATCTCCTCCAATGTTACATGGGGGCTTGTCAGAGAGTTGTGTTGGTCTGATGAACAGGCTGCCAACATGGCGAGGAGCCAGATGGGAGCAATGTTCAACTACACGCCGGACAGAAAAATGAACGACATGCAAAAAGGTAAGAAGTGTTCAGTTTTTGTCACATAGAGTTCCTGTGTAACATTTAAAGTGACTTGTTCACTAGTCTTTTAAGATATGAGTATGAAGTTAACTAGCGATGTACTATGGAATCCCTGTGCTACCAAGGTGTCCTTGTGTTACTACGGTGTCCCATGTTACAATGGTGTCCCTGTGTTACTACGGTGTCCCTGTGTTACTACGGTGTCCCATGTTACCATGGTGACCTTGTGTTACTATGGTGTCCCGTGTTACCAAGGTGACCTTGTGTTACTATGGTGTCCCGTTTTACCATGGTATCCTAGAGTTACTACGGTGTCCCATGTTACCACAGTGTCCGTGTGTTACTACGGTGTCCTGTGTTACAATGATGTCCCATGTTACCATGGTGTCCTTGTGTTACTACAGTGTCCCGTGTTACCATGGTGTCTTTGTGTTGCTACAGTGTCCCGTGCTACCATGGTGTCCATGTGTTACTACGGTGTCCTGTGTTACCATGGTGTCCTTGTGTTACTAAAGTGTCCCTGTGTAACCATGGTGTCCTTGTGTTACTAAAGTGTCCCTGTGTTATCATGGTGTCCTTGTGGTACTACGGTGTCCAGAGTTACCATGGTGTCCCTGTGTAACCTTGGTGTCCTTGTGTTACTATGGTATCTCTTTGGTTCTATGGTGTCCCTTTGTTACCATGGTGTCTCTGTGATACTAGAGTGTCCCCGTATTACTGTAGTGTCCCTGTGATACCATGATATCCTCATGTTACTATGTTATCTCTGTGTTACTATGGTGTCCCTTTGTTACCATGGTGTCCCAGTGTTACTATAGTGTCCCTGTAATACCATGATATCCTCATGTTACTATGGTGTCTCTGTGTTACTATGGTGTTTCTTTGTTACCATGGTGTCCCAGTGTTACTATAGTGTCCCTGTATTACTTTAGTGTCCCTGTGTTACCATGTTGTCCCTGTGTTATAATGGTACAATGTATCCCTATGTTACTATGGTGTTCCTGTGTTACAGATGGGCCGACTTGTGACATCCAAAATGCTGCCAAGATCTTGAGTTCTTACTCTGTGGTTGTCATGTTCAGCAGTCTTTTGTCTGCTGAGGACAAGAAGGACTTCTGTGACCCGTATGTATAAAATCATTGAGGAAATAGCTTTCATAGATTACAATGTTTCCTTTGTATATCTTCAATGAAATAATATTTAGAGTGCATGTAAGTTCTGCAAGTACTTAGTCACATGACACATTCATTTAGAAAACAAGTACTTAGTCACATGATACATTCATTTAGAAAACAAGTGTATTGGGAATGAAAGATGAAATCAAGTTCAAAGTTGAATGATGTCACTTACTTTGAATAAGGCCTCTAGATGAACTGAAGCAGAGGGTCCACAGGCAGAATGTGCTAAAAGAGAAACAGAGAAGTTGACTGCATCTATAAGGATATTTTTGACTGATAAAAAATATGTTGGGGATGTAAATTCCTAACAGCCCCGGATAATGACCAATATATGTACTGTTTCACAGGAATGGACAGACATCCATTTGGATGCAGATGGTGCATGCATCTGCAGACAATTGTTCTGAGGCTACCCAAGGGCCGCTGCATGGCCTCGGCGCTGCTGTACATGCATCTATTGCTTTCTCTGGCGTCTGTGCTGAAGAGTTGATGGTTTGTGACCCCACCAGTGCCCTGGACTGTGGACTTGACGCTAGTCGAGAGATCTTGGCCAACAACTCTATGGACAAACTGGAGGAGAATTTATGCAGGTTTGTATGAAATATAGCACTCAGGTTATAGATCATTGAGCCTTGAGGGGGGAGGGAGGGGCATAAATTGCTACTTATGTCTCCACTACTACATTATATCTCATTTTCATGAGTCAATTGACTGCATTTCTAAACAGATTTTCATCATAGTTTCTACAAACTTACATTTAAGTACATTGGTAAATTTTCCCTGCAAAATTATTTACCCCATCTATTAAAATTCTCTCGTGATTTTGATATACTTATCAATTTTCTTTAAATAATTTCTCAAGTCCAAACATGTTTTTTGCCTTATATGAGAATTTTCAAATTTAAATAAAAAACAAAGTCACATTGTAATCTAATAGAGTTAGGAGAGAATGATTCTATGTATATCTAATCTATTTGATTAAAACCTTTTAATTTCATGAAGTGAAAATCCTCCTGTACAATTCAAAATTTCCTCTAAATCACAAAAAAGTGAATTCCCCCAAAAGCTGTTTTGATCTCTGCAACCACCCAGACAGCATGCACATTTTGAGGAAAGCCTTTGATTTGCAAAAGATGAGAAGAAGGAATCACTGTTGTATGAAACAACAACAAGCAAAGAAGTTAAGATTTGTAGCATTTATTCATACAACAATGTTTGGCCACGTAATGGTACTCACAGACACTGCACATAACCTAACCTAGAATTTTGGAAGTCTCGACGAAGTGGCGTAGGCCCGGCCGTAAACTTGCATGCATTATTAATAGTGTCCATATATATATGGCAAATAATATGGACAGTCTATATACTATAGGGCTGTATGAACTGTGTGAAAACGCCTGTGGCGTATATATATGGCGTAATTACGGTGGAGCTCACGGCGGAACAGAGCTGTGCCAAAGGTCAATTCCAGTTCATGTTGAGTTAACGGGTTTACGGGGTGCCAGGAAGCAGCTGGGCTGTGGAACGACCCCTTCGTAGACGTGCTACAGCTCCCCCTGCGAATGGGGGCAGGTTACACCGAAGTGATAAGGCCCAAATGAATGTGCAGTAATGGTTTGCAAAAGATGAGAAGAGGGAATCGCTGTATAAATTTGATTAATCATATGTAAAAACAGAAATGTAAAAAGCATTTGGTAAGCTCATTTGTTTCATTGTGTAAACAAGTTTCAACCTTTTGCATTCAGTGTCAGGATAGTTTTAAATTGTCATTTCAGAATCTACGACCAATCAATGGAATGTGTGGAGCGGAACACTTACGCCTGTCCACAGGAGGTCAACTGGAAAGTCCAAGAGAAGATGGAGACCTCATTCTGTATAAGCTACGACATGATCAAACACTGTCCGTCTGTCCGCAAAGAAATGGCGAGAGACAGCACCAAAATCCCGAGCTGTGATGCAGACAGTTGGATGGAAGACATGCGGGAAGATATGGATGTTAAGAACGTCACCACCAGGACAGAGAACGGGACAACAGTTATTAACAGGAACACAACTAGAGCAAACAACACAGCTGAGATGATGGACGACTACAAAGTGTGTAACTTGACTGGTGCCTATGGATGTCTTTCCCATCTCGGTATGAAGTTGATGAGTCCCATGATGCAATGCAACAGTATGCATAGGTAAGTGATGCACCTTGTACGAAAGCAGTGTTTATTCTGCTTGGGTGGGAGGTAAAACAAGATACTTGGGGGCTTTTTTTAGGCTCCTGCACCAAAGTAGAAAGTAGTTTTCCATTGGTCGTTCTATCAATATGTTTTTGTTGGTAAATTAAACAGGTCACCTGAATCATTTCCAGATCCCCCCTTCCCCCTTGTTTTCAGTTTTCACTCTTGACTGCAGTCACAGTGTAATACTATCAATAAGTAAAGATGATCAGGACAACGTGGTGCTGGGTTTTCCAGCTTTAATCAAAATAACATGAACTAGTTTCAACACATTCGTTGTGTCATCATCTTTACCTATCGATTACTCAACTACTACGGCAGGACTCGTGTGTTCCTTGCGGTATCCGTCTGCTGGACAGCACAGATTTTTGTTGAACCCTTTGCACGGACGTTGTATCTCTCACTCCCCTTACAGTTTAATGCGGTTTAAGAATACATTTAGTCTGATTGAACTTCTTTCATGTGATAGTACACTTGTTGTGGGATCTGACAACAGGGGTCACATTCTGATGTCCTTCTAGCCTGGCCATTCTGTGTGTTGCCCTCAAAACTCTCTGTATTGCAAAATGTGCACATATATTTGTAGTTTCAATGTTAAACTTTGTGACATTGCGTTTCCAGGCAGTACACTAAAACCATGCAGTGCGTTGATAAGATGACCAGTTGGTGCGATAGTTCCACCATGTCGGTGGTCGAGTCGGTGGTGCGGATGGCTGTAAAGACCGTGTACAAGATGTGCCCACAGGTTGTCATGAAGCCATGCCAGGAATCAAAGCACTGTCGTCTGGACGAGGCGCAACACTGTGTCGATGTTTTGGCCCACATGTCGAGTATGAAAGAGATGAAGGATCAACATATCTGCTTGTGAGTAACCTGCAGACTGGTACCGAGTTGGATATGTTCAGTGTATGATTAGGGCCTGGTTTGCACAGAGCTTGGGTTCTTTAACGAGTCGTTAACGAAAAAGTTTTAAAATCTTAAATTTAGATTTTTGAAAATGTGAATTTTTTAAACTTTAAAACTTTAAAAAAAATAAAAAAAATGTTGTGATAACATGATCATTTCAAATCCTTATTCATGCTACTATAGTTTTGAATTTTGATATTTTTGAAAATGAATTGAGAGTGACTATAGTCTAGTGCTGACAATAATAGCCTATCATTGTTTGTTTGTTCAGCAAACTTCCCTGTCTTTTCTGTATGTGACTGACGCTCACTGTTTTTGCTCCAGGGCACGTGAGATGACTGAAATCTGCCTAAAGGAGAAGCTACAGCACTGTTCTGTATTTGGTAAGTCCGCTATGATGGAGGCTGTCAAGCATGCCACACCAAACCGACATCTTGTTTGTGGTGGTGATCTTGAAGTCTGCATTCAGAAATTCTTCTTCAACACGATCGGTCTGATCAATGGTGATGTGATGTTGGCCCAAGCGACACGTATCCGAAACACGATCGCCAGCGAGGTGACAAGCCACTTCATGGAGAACCCATACATGGTCGGAGTGACGGAAATTAACAGAAGGATTGAGATGAATTTGGCTAATATGTCGCGCGCCATGAGGGAAATGTTGTCAGGTGGGGCCAACATGTCGATGATGCCCGATGCTATGCAGATGGACAACATGGGGGATGCTTACCTCATGGACGGCGTCGCCTACATGTGGGGAATGATTTCTGGAGGCATGGAGGAGGACTACCAAACTAACCACGCCAAGGCCAAGGTCAGTGTCTCTCGACAGAAGAAGGTCAGGTCTATTTATAGTAGAATTGTAGTAGGTCAAGGTCATTGTCTATTGATAGATGTAATTAAAGGACAGGAGTTTCACACATTTCTGTGTTTTATTGACAAAAAATTCTGCAATGTTTGTTTTCTTGGTAATATTCCGTGTAGCTATCAAGTAACGTATATGGTAAATGTATTGTATAAGGTTTTAATTTCATCATGTCGCCTTTTCCGCATTCCGGCACCAGTTTTTTCCAAATTTGTGACGTCACCTCACGTCACATGAAGGGGGTGTAGGATAGAGATTTTTACCCTGGACAGCTTTATCTTACACACACAGAAATGAGAGAAATACATACCCTATACCTTGGTGACCACAATTGCCAAACTTTGTATGTGAAAATTTATGTTTCCTGTCGGAGACTGTTCAAAGTTATGATTTGTACATAGTACATTTTTATATCTCGAGCTCAACTATGCACATAGTTATGTCCCTTTGTTTACCCTGTGTCACTTTGTCCTCGACATGCCTCGTATGCTCACATCCTTTAAAGTTTTGTTCGCAAATGTCCTGAACTGAAATTTGATCTCGTACCCCTTAAATTAATTTTCCCCGCCATTTTACAGAAGGGGGCATACAGTGTTATTACTGATGTCCATCCCATCGCGTTGTGTCCTCTCACAATTGATCAAGTGACTTCATTACTAAATTGATTTTTATCCATCTTTATACAATGGTCTAGTAAGAGAATATCTGGAATTGGTTTGCAATTCAGGGTTTCAAGGCCAAGGCCAATGTCACTACTACTATTTATAGAATTCCGTCAACCCCTTCAGTGAAGGTACTGAATTTGTTAACAGATTCTATTAAACTTTTATAGATATCAAGTTTGAGAATACTTCATAAAAATTTACAATTTCTTGAAACCAAGGTTAAGGTCACCATAACTGTTGGAGTAATCTATCAAAACAAATGACACTGACTGTGCTTGGGAGCAGGGGGCATCTATGTCTTAGACATTTTGCTCCTTCATAAGAACATTTATCCTAAAGTACGTAGGGGACTAGGGATTGCTCGCAATACTTTGCATTGTTTATTGAAACATTTGTATGACCCACCTTAGATAAGTGAAACGTTTATGTGATCATGTTGTTCATTGAAGCGTTTGTTTCACCAGGTTATTCAGTGTGCAGCCGTTCGTGAAGCATATGAGTGCATGGACAGTGAAATGCACATGGCTAGCTGGTCATACTTGTCGTCCGCACAAGGCACCTTTGTGAGACAGAACCTGATCCAGCTGCACGAAGTCTCCAAAAGCATGTGCCATGAAGATATGACCTGCACCTTCTTGAAGCGTAAGCTTGTGTCTAACTACCGATCTTAAGTATAACTAGTCAATTTCTCTCTGAGAAACATTGACGAAAATAATGTCATTACACACTGTATACTAGAGCTGTCAGCCTGTCACGATACACTTTACCCACGATTCGATATATATCTCGATATTTGTACCACGATTCAATTATTTCGATTTGATACACCTTTATTTTTAAAAATAAACAATAAATGAGATATATAAGCTGTCGATACACAGAAACCCACAGTGTTTCCACACTTTTGATTTGAAGCTTGCCGGAGCATCACAATTTCCTTTCCTTACTGCGGTCCGCCATTTTGTTATGAATGCTTTGTGAAAATTGCATCCACACAGCCGATTGGTTGAGGGATTAGAGATCAGCCAATGAAATTGAACGTCTCACAGACGTTTCGGCTGAAGTTGCATACACTAATATTCAGATCGTGGTGCATCGAAAATCTGGAAAAATATATCGTGAATCGAATCGAACAATAAATAATTGCGGTAATCGTGACACCTCTACTGTATACCGGGAAACTGTCACTGAGTCTAATATTTGCCATTTGCCAATAAAAGCATGTTCGCCTGGTGTTAATTTCACCTTTCACATGTAATACCTATGCACATTGTCTGTTGTGTACTAATATTCACTGTCAAGATAAATTCACCTTCATAGGGGAGGGGGGAAAAGGATAAAGCTGAAACTGACAGAATGTTCGTCCCGGTATACAGTATGTAAAGTAATGTTCTTGTATGCTTCAATGGTAAATGACCTCATTACAAGCCACAAAATAAAACAATCTATTCGTCACCTGGGAGCGATATGAGTAGAAGAATAATTAGAAAAACTGAAGTCTATGATGAGCTGTAACAGTAATGGGAAACGTCATTGTAACAATGATGACATGTGTGTTGACTGTTGTCTGTTGACAGAGCCAGAGTCCTGCCAGGTGTTGCCTGCTATGTGGATGACAATGGCTGGTGTTGGACAGGTCTTAACAACCAACAATGCCGCATTCTGCAGGTAAATGTGAATTTGGATATTTTGTAACTTTAATGCTACCTTCGTTGTGTCTGATGGTCAATGTGTTGTTATCTCCCCTTATTGCTGCGGGACTATCAACTTTTGAAAACAAGCTCTGCTAGATGTAGAGGGTTATAAGGCAATGAAATACACATGCAAGATGTACTACCTATTGAACATTTTTTGAAAATTTGATTTTTTTACTATTAAATACTTATTTGTCAATGAATTTTTCAAATTAAGATGCATTTATGGATTCAAAAGCATATTAAGCCATTGCTTTAGTAGCTTTCCATATGACCTGTATATGGATATCTACGTAAATATATAATTATGAATATAATATGTGTTGTATGTATTCAGCAATCTACCAAGTATGATGTCCAACATATCCGCCCTGACCTCAAGCTGCACGGATGACGTCGGTCAACACTTCAAAGCCATGCTTGGTTTCCAGGAAGAGGCAAAGGAAGCTATATGTAATCTACCCTCCAACTGTAACGTGGACGGTGCTACAGCCTGTCTGCTCAGTCTTAACAAAGACAACTTCTGCGCGTAAGTTTAACAATGCATACACATATTTTTTCTCACTCCATCGTTTAAGTTTGTGAATGGGCTATATAGCTATGCGATCCAAATATGGCGAGGGATCGTTTGATCTCGTTGCACAAAAACCAAACTTGTGGACACAGTAAAAAAAATACTCTGAGAACATTGTCATCTGAATATTGGAAAACACAACTCAAAGGAATATGGTTGATATCTGGAATAGTATGATCCCACAAGATGTTATTTCATCTCGTGACGTATTTGACTTTGAGAAGAATTCTGGATATACATTGAGTGAACGTATGATCATAGAGTGTCTTATACATGGGCTTATTTTACGTTTACCACAATGTATTTCAAATTATATTGATGTGGATATAGAGGTAGCAATGATCCCATCCACACTAATATCTTATTAAATCCTATTTTTAAAAAACCAAAAAAAACCACCTGTCTTATCTGACTAACTATGAAACAAAAACCTATCTTATCTGACACTATGAAACACAACGTATTGGTCAGATTAGACAGGTTTCCATCTAAACTTGGCATCATTTCTCTACCTATCCAAATGATAAAGATACCTATATATACAGAGTATAAGAATTTGCATACATATATTTATAGAAAATTAAACTACTGTAGCTAATGCTGTCTTTATTTTTCAGTGAGTATGACAACGTTAAGAACTGTATGACCGGAGCACTGAAGAGCTGTGCTGTCATGGTTCAGGCTAACCTGACTGCTGAACTGGAGAATGTACAGAACGCTTATGGCCAGTCCTGTATTAAGATGCCATCTATTTATGTAAGCAAGTTAATAGGTTTAAAACAGTTGACAATGTTAAAGCCAAAACAGGCCACAAATTGTTTCAATTTTTATAATAATGTAAAATGGAAATTTATTTTCCCGCTCAACTATATTGTATCATTGATACCACAGGGAGCCTAGCATGTAAGATACCTGTGAAACCTTAACCCTTTCACCACTGTAGACCATAATGGACTCCTCCATATCAATGCATGGTAGAGTCTACTAAAGTTACATAGGGGTGAAAGGGTTAATCCCAGATAGCCTGGTCAGTAAGAATGAGGTAAAATGAATACTGCGATTTAAGCCAATATGCAGGAAGTGAATTATCAAAATCTGTGTCATCTGTTTAATGAGCATGCATGTTGGCTTATATTACTCAGCATAACCTCCTCACCAAAACAAAATATCGGGAGGAAAACAAGCCAACATTTTTGGAAGTATGTAATAATATAAGATTGAATACTGTATGAAGTTCTTGTGTTGAGAAAACAAACGTTAATTTACTGATGATGACATTTCAGGTCACAGACCCAACCCGTTTAATCAGGCTGGAGGAAGGAAGCATGAATTCCACAAACATTTATGTGACCATGACTGAGTCACCCTCCTGTGGCAATAACTGCCACATCGAAGTTACCGTATCTCTGTCTGAAGTTGCCAGCTCTGTTGCAAAGTAGGTCTATCTAAACTCCCTCCAATAGTTGCAGTGGTGGAGCTTGAATGTGCCTGCCTCGAGATAAAACTTTTCTATATTTTAATTGCTAAGGGTAACTGATCCAACTTGGTTCTTTTCATACTTCGGTCTAACATTCATATCCTTGAGTTGAGAATGTAACAACAGACATGTTTTTATCTTTGAAATAATTCTGTTTTACTTTTACGAATCCTTTGTTTTCATATCAATGATAAAATGAAGGATTTAGACATCAGAGATTGGTGAATTTCCGAAAAGATTTGAAAACGAAGAAAAGAAAGACAAGATATTGAAAGATTGGAAAACTACATCACCTTTAAGGCAACATTACATGAAAGTTTAGGGTGTTATTTCAAAATGTTCTATTTTAACTTCCTTTCATTCTGTGACTGATTATTTCCGCAGGTGTGCTGATGGCGCTGTTGACATTCCACAAGTGTTGGTGGTCAAGGACGGTGATACCTCCGGAACCTGTAATATGGTCTTTACGGATGCCGACTACATGACCCCTCGCGTGGTGCCCCTCTTGGCGACCGCTGACCTCATTCAGGACGGCACACACTACATCACTGCTAAACTTACAGCAACCAAGATTGATAACGGAGTAGTCGTAAAAGAAACACAGCTTGCAGAATACCAGGTACTTGTTACGTAGTAATCCTCGGAATCGCACCAGATTTTCAACTTTAAGGGATGATGTGTCTTCAACCCCTTTGAGTGTTAGCTAGTTTAATGTTGTGTCTTCAACCCCCTTGAGTGTTAGCTAGTTTGATGTTGTGTCTTCAACCCCCTTGAGTGTTAGCTAGTTTAATGTTGTTTTACAGGGTGTTTATGTAAAGATAAACTTTATTTATTTTACAACATTTACGAAACAAGTTGTTTCAACTTATATTAGTCACTCTTGTTGGCCAAGATATTAGTGTGCGGGGATCTTAATGTGGGAGGAAACCGGTGTACCCAGAGAAAGACCACGTGGTCGGGGGCAGGTGACCCCATACCTTTTCTAGCCCGATCGGGGAATCGAACAGCTAAGGTCATTTAAAGATGGACGTCCATGTGTGTAATATATGCATGCATGTGTGTCATTTGTGCTGGAGGCAAAAGCATGACTACAGTACAAAAAATGTGTGTTAAGGGCCATTCTAGGATGTTTCATTCAATGTTCCCTTTGTAAATTATTGAATAATATTATAAAGATTCACAAAGTTGACACATTTCTGATTCAGGTAATGAACACAATCGTATCATTTTGTGACATGAGTGTTTTACCGAGTCAAATGAATACTTAAAAGCTCTCAGATTCTACTGGTCCTAAAATTAAATCCCGTCTTTGGCTCATGATGAAACAAGTGACATTATAGAAAAATATAACTAAAAAAAACACCAACGAAATTACATCTCATCTTTCAAAATAGTCTGTTATGAAATTATTATCACTTTTAATTGCTATTGAATACCCTTTGAGAATACCTGCTATTACCCAGTGTTGTGATGTAAAAGGGATTTGCATTTTGGGCTTATTTTGGTTGTTATTAAAAGTATAGATGTCCTACTGTCCCCTTTATGTGTGTTATGTTTGCGTGCATTTGTGCGTACATTGTGTCCGCATATATACCAGGTATTTGAATATTGCCCAAAAACATAATGTTCCCAAAAACTTCAAATATACAACTGATATAAAAAAAACTAAGTATAAACTTTATTTTATTTCATATTTGTACAAATGTTTTGCAAGAACATGTATTTGGTTAATTTGACAATGAAAATGGATTCAGATACAGGTTTTGAAAACTTATACAATATCTTATGACTCCTTTGACATTTTTTGAAATTGTAGACATTTTTTTCAATATTGAAGAATATATCCAATAAAAATAGAGAAAGAAAAACTTGAAATTGTTTGACTACTAAAGGGAACATGAAAAAATATCTATATCACTGTCATCAGTGAACGTATGCTAGTATGATGATACGACCAAATCAAAAGTCAAGTCAGCACAAAAGGAAATCCCCTGAATCTTGAAGGTTAACCATTTTCATGTGGCATTTAGGGTGATTTCAGACTAACACTTCATTTTTTTTCATTTATTTTATAGATTGTTGTCGCCAACAACGACCGTTACAGTGTGTGTATGGCCTTTGGTGATTCTGTGCGGTCGTTTGACGGACTGTAAGTATTCGTTCTTACCGTGTCTCATCCATACTTGTGTTGACTACATCAATTACACCTTAAGTTTGGTCAGTGTTTTGTTTACTATGAGTGATTTAACAAAAAAAAATATTAACTTAGTTTAGCATTAAAGTACATTCTGTGTAGAATTATAGTCTTGTAATTCTGAATACATTATGATACGTACGTAAAGGAAGTTATAAGTTTTTGTCTTCATTCTTCGATTCTGCTTTCAATTATGGAAATCCGTACAGATGTAATTTCTTGCATTTATAGTTTTTGTTGATTATAACAAATATATCTGATATTCAGATTTTCCTATTCCTTTAGTTTGAGGTAGATTTTGAATAAATGGAACAGCCAACAGTGGTTATCCACTAGCTATCTATAATGTTTGAGGATATTATGACATTAACTCATTCAACCCTGACATCTTATAATGGACTATTCCAACCTTTGAATTGGAAGAGTTCAAATGTGTCTTCAGGGGTGAATAAGTTAATGGTAGGCCTATATTGTGGCTATTTTCAGAACATGTGTTAGCAAAGTTGATCATATTTGTTTCTTGTCAGAATATTCTTTTTACAAAATGAAAATGCATAAAAATAATGTGATGATTCAGATTGTTTGATGTGCCATGTATAAACTACAATGAGATATTGTACACTGTTTTTTGATGTGTTTGCAGAAGCCACAATAACTACTTCCAAGGGTTGTTCTTAGTCTACAAGCACACCACATTGCCACAAGAGGTATGCTATTATTGTACAATAAGAGCTGAAGATATAGACTTTCCTGTTTATAGCCTGAATAGAAATATTATTTGTTTCCCATAAAGTATGTCAACTACATATAAAACAAAAAATATATCTCTAAACTAGACTTGAATATGCAATTATAAATATTTTTCAATGGTTACAACATTTTCAATTTTCAAACAATATCTGACTTACAGTTTTCTGTAAATACCAAAAGCTGATGGACTCCGAACTGTCAAGAAAATTCCTGCCCAAATAGTAATTTTTGCAATTTCTATTTCAGAACTAAGATGAAAACCCCCCACATTGAATGTATAAAATATAAAATGTGTCAAATGAACAAATTAAAAATCAACACTAATACATCTATAACAGCAATTTGACATCTTAAGAGTACCATGCAACATAATGAATATTATTCTTTATTCTAAAATCCTTCAAAATACTAAATAAATAAAAAAAATCACCAACATACATAATCAATTTTATAATTTGGTAATGTTGAAAAATAGCAATTAAATCCAGGTTTAATGTTCCTCTTAACCCTTTCACCCCATGTAGCTTTCGTAGACTCTACCATGCATTGATCTGGATGAGTCCATTTTGGTCTACCGTGGTGAAAGGGTTAAACACCTATGAAGTTTATAGATAAAGCTACTGTAGGCTGGCAGAGAAACCTAATCAGCGCGAGACATACTCGTTTAAGTAATAGAAATCTGTTATGTTTGAGACACCTCTTGTCGCATATGAATTCAATGTAAATGTGTTTAGCGTAACTGTGATTAGAAATCTGTTCATTGTGTTTTTAATTTGTTCTTAGTTTATGTTACTAGAAACATGATGATGTTTTTACTCTCAAGAATTTGAGTTCTTCTGCTCTGAAAATGTTCACTTAAATCATGATTGGTTTGCTTGTACATATAATAATAAATTGACGACATGTTGCAAACGTTGAGAGAATAAATCGGCTATTTGCATAGACTTTGTCTTCAAACGTTGTATTCGTTCGTATTGTGTAGGTGTTTGTGCTGAAGCAAAAGAGCTTGAATAGGTTCGGAACAGAGTCATGTGCCGTGGCTGTCAAGTCGGAGGATGATGTCTTCATCATCGACCGCTGCCGAGCAAGCAATGGAAATATCCGAAACACACAGCAGCTTTATGTGACTGGCACTTTGCATCCATTTACAGAGATTAACAGCGAGGGCAGCAAATACACGGTACGAAAGTTGTAACCGATGCTGTGTAAATAATACAGTTTTTAGAATGCAAACATGCAATCAGTTCTATCACAATTGTAATTGATACCTTGTCTACCAAATATTATACTAACCTTTTCACCCCTATGGATGAGTCCATTATGGTTTACAGGGTGAAAGGGCCAGTGAATGAATGATATATTGATACTACAATTATATTTATTTTCATTCACACTCATGAAACGTCATACAATATTTAAACTTGGTATCACCTGACTGCAATTTACTAAATATGACTGAGTTACCATCATTTTGTACACTTTCCAAATCACGCCAGACACGAAGGTAGAATGACAAATTATAGTGGTGAAAAAAATCTCTCCTCGCCCTCGAGCTCTGCCATCTTTAAAATCGGCTTTTTGGAAACGATGAATAGGAAATATTTGGTGGGCAATAAAATAGGTAGAGTTGTAATAAACTTCAAATCATCTGAAGCAGCGTTGGGCTTATATCAAGTCCACACGCTATGCAGCTAATAAAAAAGCTGACGATATAGCAACTTCTTCAAACACACGACTAAATCTACGTGTAGTTAATTGAAAACTTCTAATTTTCATTTGTGTCAGACCAATGACAATAGCAACTAACAGGGTCACATTAGAATTGTATTACCTTGTACTTGAGACTATATTCATTTGTAGAAAAATAACGACCCGAAGCGAGATATAAGTGTGTGGAAGATGACGTTAACATGTGTCAACCGTAAAGTTCTGAGTCAGTCGGACGTTTGTCTTCTATGTTTTGTTATATAGTTTCATATAATGCAATGTTTGTTGTATCATGAGTCTTGTATCAAGCTATGTATTGTATCGTGAGAAAATGTGTATTCACAGCCCAAATTATTACTGTAAATTTGACAAATTGGTGTAGGCTAACGAGGGAGGGTAATATATATGTGGGAATAGAGTTTGTTCTTTCGGGGACACAACCGATGGTGACTAGATGAGATTAAATTCAGGGAACACAGAATACTGTTAGCAGATTTGAGACAGAACGTATAGTACATGTAGTAGTGTTATTTAGTGAAGTGTAAGGTTTAAAATCAACCTAATTTTGTTGTGCAGGTGAGGTTCCCCTCCGGAACCGTGGTGACCATTGAAGACATGACACTCTCACTGCAAATCATGGTCCATGCTTCGCCATTCGACATGGGTCACACAACAGGTATGACAAAACCATCAGGGCTTCATCATGGGGTTCGGGAAACGGACCCTGGGATGAAATTGAGGAAAATCATCAACATAATGGCCATTTTGGAAAATTTTGAAAATCATTTTACCAACTTAATCTAAGCCTATCTTTTTGTCAACATAATTCTGTCCTTCCTACATGTGCTAGATTTTGAGAACTCAGTCCATTGGGAGTAATTTATTTAAATTTATGCTTTTTTTTTTTTTTTTTTGAGATCTCACAATAAAGAATTTTAAAGGAGTAAATTGAGAAAATTCAGGGGTGGGGGCGTATTGTTGGCTATGACCATTATCATCCTGCTGCATCGTGTCCTCCCCCACATCCTGTCTTCTTGCAATTCATATCTTAAAAACTTTTCATGAAAGTTCATATAAAAAAAATTGAAATGAAAAAAAATCAGATGTCTACAGATTTCAGGGTTGTAATGATAATGCAAGGTCACTTGCTATTTATATGTAAACCACAGGGCTAGAATGGCATGCTGCAGGTCTTGCAGAAATTTTCAAGTTGCATTATTCTTTGGTTATAACTTGAAATTGATTGAGATCCCCGTCATATAACCATACATAATTCAATTTTGGCTATTCCTCCAATGGTAGACCTCTTCAGGTTATATTGCATAGCCTTAAAAAAAACCAGCAAACAAAAAAAGTGATAACTTTGTATACTGCTGTTTTGCACAGTATTTGTAATCCTAATGTTTGATTGCTTAGCTATGAAATTACTCCACAATGCTGTGTTTTGTGCAATTGTGTTTATTAGAAATGAATGAATATTCACTATGTATTTCAAGTGTTGTCTTACTGTTTAAATCAAATTATAAGGGAATGCCAGAATTATTGTTGGGGTTATAGGGTTTGTACCGAAAAAACTGCATTTTTGTGCACGAAATGGACACAGGTTTTTTCGGTATATACTGTATAACCCCCCAAAATTAATGGTTATTCCTTAAATATACCTGCTTGGCATAAAGAAAAGAACACAAAAGATACTGTCAGCATCTGGCCCCGCCCTTGAGGACTTATTCTCAGTCCATTTCATGTCAACAATTAAGATCCCAATCCTATATCCATATACACATACACAACGCAACCAGATTTGCTATGAAGCATTCTTTGGACAAGAAAGACTGAATATATTGCCATGACTGCTCCAATAGACAGTGAGCAATACAGGTGCTATGGGCCTTTTGCTTTGAATTTTACAGCGATGAAAGTGAGTTTCTCTTTGCTTTTAAAGGTTTGTGTGGTGTGTATGACGATATGACTGACAATGATCTGACCCTGCCCAATGGACGAGCTATTGCTATCGCAACATCAACCACTAGTGTCGATTTCGCTACCTCTAGAGACTTCGACAGGCAATGGTCGTAAGTATCAACATCAAAATTACCTATTGCTTGGTTAATTATTGTATAAAGGATGTCATCTTTGGTAATAAAGCTTAAATATGGGAATTTATTTGAAATTTAAAGCTGACAATGCAAACTTAAAAATTCTTTCAATCGAGATTAAAAAAACAAAATAAATTCAACTATTCAGAATGCTTTTGAGATGTTCCCAAAACCTAAGGAAGTGCTGACATTTTAGTTTGTCCTTGCATGGATGGTGACAAGTAAAAACCTGTAAGGGTAATTTATAAAGCACATTACTTAAGCTAAATTGTAACTCAACTACAATGTCATATTTTTCTCAAATTCTGTAGTTAAGTTGGTGTCATGGTTTTGATCAATTCAGAATGAGAATTTAATGCGTGTGTTCACTTTCAATCCCTAGGTCATCTTCGTCGGATTTGTTCCTGAAGAGCTCCGACTTCCCAACGAATACCTTCTGTAGCTGTGGCAGCGTTGCTGGTAGCTCATCCCCACCGCAATGTGTCTCTCGTAACACACTCGTGGAGTCTTGTGCTTCACCTTTGGCTGGTAGGTTTGATTTAAACACTTTTTCAGTATTTTTGCTGTCTTCCTGCGATTCTGAAAACGTTTTTTGTTGTCTTCCTGCAATTCTGAAAATGTTTTTTGATGTGTTCCATGCGATTCTGAAAGTGTTTTTTGTTGTCTTCCTGCGATTCTGAAAATGTTTTTTTTGTCTTCCTGCGATTCTGAAAATGTTTTTTGTTGTCTTCCTGCGATTCTGATTTTTTTTTTTTTATTCTGAAACTGTACGTATGTTCTGTAGATTCACTTGCTGACCATACTGTGTTGTAGGTACTGACATCACAAATGCATTGAAGGAGGGTGCTGCTGTTATCGTCACCGGCTGCGACAGGAAGAGGAGACAGGCCGGAACGGGATTGTTCGATGATGTTGAGATTGACCCAACCTATGATGATTCGGTAGGAGACAAAATTTAAGATTATTAACCAGTATGTAGGATTGACATATAAGGTTTTTACCAGTAAATGTTGAGGACGAGGGGATATCTTTCAGGTGCCGATGGGACATTTTCCCTTGTAATGTGGGAACATACATGAAATTAGGTACTCTGCATGGCAGTTTTTAAGGTATAGAATGGATGGATGGATGGATAAGAACACAGTGTCATGATGTATTGTTTTGAAAAAGTTCTAACATTTGCATTAACTTTGGTAATTTTTGCAGAATATTGACTTGTGGTCATGGTTTGTGTTTAAACATTTAGAAGATTTTGACTGCTGTATACTGGAAAATTTTCGCTGCAGTTTAAATTTTCGTCCTTCGTAACAAGGATTAATTCATCATTTGTAAACAATATAATAAACATAGAAATTAAATGTGAAGGGCGAATTTAGTATTTGACGAAAAGTTCATATGTTTACAGTTTTTGCTAATTGTTTCTACCAGGACGGGTAGAAGCTACGGACATTGTCACTATATATAGTAAAAATACATGGAGGAGTCTTAAAGTCAGTCACTATAAAGAGATGATTACTATAGGGGGTGGTCATCGCCCTGCTTGAGAATCGACTGTATACATACTATATAGCAATAGAACTGGCTAGTCTATTTAGTAGATCGGTATATTTATTTATTCCTTGGGTCCTGCGTAAAGCATGTTTAGCTGAACATAGTTTGAGTGAGGAGAAGTGTATTTGAACTTGAAAATCTGTATACCAGAAAACTTTCACTGCCGTTTAACTAACGTTTTTTTGTCAACTGTAAAAGGGGTAAATTTATTATGACAGTGTATTTTAGTACACAGCGTTACATCTAAACTAAAAACTTGTGAAAGCCAAAATTAACACTGGACAAATATGAATTTTACCAAAGAAGGGCAGAAAGACTGGGCAAAATTGTTCAGGCATACAGTGGTTTAAGGTTAGGAAGGATGAATCTGCCGTATACATTTGTATTAAATTTGGAGTAGGATAGATGAATTTTGCTTTTTCTTGAATAGGAGTTATAAGGAGATGATTTTGATTAACTTATGGTTTTGAGTAAGGAGGGTTGTATTTAACTTATCTGGAGTTTGGGCTTGAAGGAATGTATATGACTTTAAGTCTGGAGTTTGGAGGAATGTATTTGACTTTAGATCTGGAGTTTGGAGGAATGTATATGACTTTAAGTCTGGAGTTTGGAGGAATGTATTTGACTTTAAGTCTGGAGTTTGGAGGAATGTATTTGACTTTAAGTCTGGAGTTTGGAGGAATGTATTTGACTTTAGATCTGGAGTTTGAAGGAATGTTTTTGACTTTAGATCTGGAGTTTGAAGGAATGTTTTTGACTTTAGATCTGACGTTTGAAGGAATGTTTTTGACTTTAGATCTGACGTTTGAAGGAATGTATATGACTTTAGATCTGGAGTTTGAAGGAATGTATTTGACTTTAGATCTGGAGTTTGAAGGAATGTATTTGACTTTAGATCTGGAGTTTGAAGGAATGTATTTGACTTTAGATCTGGAGTTTGAAGGAATGTATTTAACTTTAGATCTGGAGTTTGAAGGAATGTATTTGACTTTAAATCTGGAGTTTGAAGGAATGTTTTTGACTTTAGATCTGGAGTTTGAAGGAATGTATATGACTTTAGATCTGGAGTTTGAAGGAATGTATATGACTTTAGATCTGGACTTTGAAGGAATGTATTTGACTTTAGATCTGGAGTTTGAAGGAATGTATTTGACTTTAGATCTGGAGTTTGAAGGAATGTATTTGACTTTAAATCTGGAGTTTGAAGGAATGTATTTGACTTTAGATCTGGACTTTGAAGGAATGTATTTAACTTTAGATCTGGAGTTTGAAGGAATGTTTTTGACTTTAGATCTGGAGTTTGGAGGAATGTATTTGACATATATATATATCTTTGGCTTGATCAGGAGTTGGAGTTATCCAAGATGTCTATTTCTTACGATTAATATTAAGTAATCAATTATACAATATATGTTTACTTTTAATTAGTGCTTTGAACTTCATAATGATATTTCAATATTTCTTTCATTTATGATAATTACAGGTCACAGATCCCACATGGGACCCGACCAGGACCTACTACCTCGACACAGCCACAGCCTTCTGTCAACAACAAGTGAATGCTAAGCAAATTATAGGCCTCTGTCAGCAGATTCCGGGCTTTTCCATACCCACTGACACTGTCATCCAGGAGTGCATTGACAAAATCAAGGTAATGAAACTTCATATTGATAACCTGGTACATAGTAACTCATTCACCCCTGAAAACACATTTGAACTCCTCCAATGCAAAGGTTTGAATAGTTCATTTTGAACTTTTAGGGGTGAATGAGTTAAAGTCTGGTTCTGTCATTGTTGGGATCATTAAAAATGATGCAGACAGGGGTCCTCTTAACACATACTATGACGATGCTTAATTTGAAGGACTTCTTCGCTTCTGTAATTTGATAAAAAAAAATATAAAAAATACTTCGTGTATAATTAGCTTCAGGAGAATGGTTTTGCCCATATCTGGGTACCTGTAATTGCTACACAGATTAAACTTTTTAGGAATATAGAATTTTGTAAAATAAATACGTCTGACATCATTTTGCTGCAGTTAAAATACCATTCATGTAAGTACTATTGTTTTATACACATTACTAAAGGAATATTGTCATCATTCGGCAGTATCCAAAAACCTGTTTATATATCCGCTATTGCACCATACCTTTCCTATATGAATATAGCAATTATAAATTGTACCACTGGCATTTATACAGTATGGTACATTATAACTTCAGACTCAAATCCTGATTTTTGTGTCGCTTGCAACACAAGGCGATGTATAGGTATTACTTTGTCGGCGTCATCAGTTGCATCGTCCGAAACAAGGTTTCCATACAATAACTTGAGTTCCCTTGGGTTGATTGAACTCAAACTTGGTACACATATTGCATACCGATATAGCTTGGTCAAGTTCGCATTTCAGAAGTTACAGTGCATTTTTGATGGAGTCATGGCCGTTTTATTGCCAAATAAATTAGGTAGGCATTAGGTAGTAAATGCAAGAACTTTTCTATTCTTTAATCAATTCTAGAAGCAATAATGTTCAACATATCTTACAGGTTTTTCTGTTGAATTTCAACCTTCCACGTTTTGGCATATCTGTCTACGCGATAACTCAAGCCAAAACACTTTTCTTACTAAAAGCACTGAGCAGGCGACACATCCACTCCTGTGAATTCTTGTTAAGTGATTGAGGGATGTTGATGACAGCATTTCTTGATTAATGAACAAAGAAAAATTGATTCATTTAAACACCATAAAACTCATCTCGGTATGTTAGCCAGTAATAACCGTTTTACTAGGTAGTATAACACAAATTTGTTAGTTACGTCTAAGTTGATATTGAAATATAATGCTTTCAAGTGAAGCTTATTATATTTTATCAGTGACAACCCTATGCTGAGAGAAAAAAGACAGATTTTATAGGCAAGGGTCATAACTGTACCTGTCTGTAAGCCTGAATGTGGAAAGGGTCAAATTTGGTAGTACTACATGTAGCAATAAAATAGTTTTATTCCTTTTTAATGAATTAGGTTTGTGGGCTAACCAACTTTGAAACAATGCCATATATTTTTTTTAAAGGAGATTGTTTGTGGTTGAGACTTGAACCTTTTTAGTAATGATATACAATTGTTTTCCTTCTGTAGTTGACTGATTCTGCAATCGATGCCACCTTTACGCTAGCTATGTATATCGGGCAATGCGAGTCTGAGGCCAGACAACTGCTCGGCTCCACGGACGCCGCATTGGTACAACTTGCCACAAACATCCTGAACTTTGTTTGTCCAAACGACTGTAGCGGAAGCAATGGTATCTGTAGTGCTGGTACGTCAAGTTTCATCTCAACATCTGATTTCCTGGGACAATATTTTGATTTTAAAGTAGTTCAAAGTTGAAATTTTTCAAACATGAACTTTCAGTTTTCCTAGCTAGAAACATTACGTAGACCTGGCTGACTGATATATTTATTTGTGTATATACAGGTACTTGCCAGTGTCAACAGAGCTGGCTTGGTGTCGACTGCTCCATTGACGGGAACCAGCCTCCAACTGTCTCAAGTGTGGAGAACAATGGACTATGTCCCCTTGGCAGCACCGACTGTGTTGTGATCACAGTTCTTGGCGACAACTTCAGTGACCAGAAGACACCTTCATGCCACTTCCAGGCTCTCACTGTATGTATACTAGTAGATGTTTTGACAATATTCTTAAATCATTAAACTCCCATTTGAAAACGTTTGATAAGTAGTACTCCTGGCCGCATGCATCTCTGTCCATGGCAATTGTTTATTGGCCATAACTGCCTGGTATCTCCATGCAAGTTCCTTTGTTCTTGGGTAGTTCTTAACCCTTTCACCGCTGTAGACCATAATAGAAATAGACTTTTTCAAATTTATTTGGTACTTGTCGACTGAATAAATCAAAGCTACAGTGACCTATATTTTCTTCTCCCATGAACTGCTTTCTGGCCATAGTTTTCTCACATTTTTCTACTGACCATATTAATTTCATGTGTTGTTGGATCTTGGGATGATTGCTAGCCTGAGTTTCCTCTGGCCCTGTCACCAGACATCTAGGCTATCTGTCAAAATGACTGTTGTCAGGGCCAGAGGAAACTCGGGCTAAATGATTGCGTGTCAGGTGTAAATCTAGATGCTGAGGTCAAGGTCACAGAGTTAGATTTACTCTCCTTTATCTTTTAACTAAGCCCGCATGAGATTGATCTCTATGGGGTGAAATTAGTGAAATTGTGAAACTGTCACACAGGAATGATTTGATCTGAACAAACATCCTGATATTTTCTTACTATCCTTATACTTACAGGCTGTCAATAGAACTATTTACAAAACAACATTTTCATGAACTTTCTTTTGACAGATTGACCGTTGGTATCCAAAGGCTTCATTTGCGTATCCCGATTGAAACGGTTCAGGTGGTGCAGAAATATTCCACGATAAACAAATGCACTTGGACTGAACTGTAGGCACAGCAAAATAAACGTGTCCACTGAATTATATAACATATCTTAAAGTCTACATGTGGCTTGACATCGCTTTATATAGAAATAACGCAAACTAGCAGTAATCAGCATTTTAGTTTCGGTCAGGCACGTCTCAAGGACCCCTCTGAATCTACACTTGCTGAGCATTCCTGAGGTCAGCCTCGGTTCAGATCTGCACCTGTCGTTTTCTTTCCAGGTTGAACCAGATACACGAAAAGGGCCATGGTCCTTTTTGGCAGTCAATAAAAGCAGTTGTTTCACTTTTTTGTTAACCTTTTGTTGACAGATCAATCAGGCCGGTACCACTCCAACTGGACCTGTGCAAATCGTGGTCGCTGAGTATGTTACAATGTCACAGGTCAACTGTCCAGTACCTGTAGACATGATGACGTCCAGTCTCAAATTTGCCGTACAGGTGGCGGTCAGTAATGATGCAGCTAGGTTGAGTCCCTATTTCACAGTGGTCACCTTCGACAGTGCCTGTTACAGCTGTTCAACGACTGCCTGTACGACCACTGTGAGTATCACTTACTAACAAGGTGTTACAATATTTGATATCTCATGTTATGTAGAATTTTAATATTGATATCGTATACAAATATAATGTTCTGATTGAATCAAATTGCACAGGTGGGTGGATGTATTGTTTTAAAATTTTACATAAAAAAATTCTTGAGAAGAAATTTAAGTGTTGATTTTACACTAACCAACAATGTTCTTTTCAAGACATCAATAATATGGGTATCTTTTGGCAGCTCTGATTCTCATTATAAACTAGATGTGTATAGAGTTTTTTAGTTGTTGATACAAACTGTGGAACGAATATTTGAGATTTGTACGGCGTATGGTTTGTCCTTTCAGACTACTGGCTGTGTGATAGAGAATGTTTGCTACGAAGCATTCTCCAACAAACCTGGTGACCAGTGCCACTACTGTGATCCTTCTCTAACAAACATGGGGTGGACAATGAAAATCGGTATGTAGTTTTCACCTACCTTTTACAACTAGTCCAATATCAATTAATTTATATGTCATTTATGAATTCATCAAGAACATTGAAATTTCAAAAGGTACGAGCAAATTTCTTAACTCATTCACCCCTGAAGACACATTTGAACTCTTCCTAATCAATGGTTGGAATAGTTCATTATGAAGTTTCAGGGGTGAATGAGTTAATATGCGGTCATAGAGACTACATAGCATCAACAGAAGAATGATGTGCTGTACGTAATTATAAGTGTACTGAGTTTCAAAGGACATATGCTTGAGGGTTTTAATCTGTAATAAAAAAAGATAAACTCATTCACCCTTGAAGACACATTTGAACTCTTCCAATTCAAAGGTTGGAATAGTTCATTATGAAATTTCAAGGGTGAATGGGTTAAGACACACAAATGCATATCTTGATTATATGCATCTGAAAACAGCTCAGTTTTTGAACATTTCCCCACAAATCAACTAGGATGTATTTACAGTGTCTTTTCCTATTTATAGCTCCACCACTGTGTAATTTACCTACGACACCAGCCCCCCCTACAACCTCCAGCCAACCAGCTGTGACAACCACCACCACAACGCGAGCAACCACTCCTCGCCCGACAACACCCAAACCAACTACACCAAGACCGACTACACCAAGACCAACTACTACACCAACCACACCAGCTCCTATGGTGAAGACGACAACAGAGGAGCCGGTCCTTAGCCAAGACGCCCAGTTGATTGTTGTTGTGTTGGGAGTTGTTGCTGGCCTGTTCGCCGTCCTGTCCTGTATCTTGGCTGTCAAGTATTGTCAGCGTCAACCGTAAGTATATCTTGAGTATTGTAGTACATTTGTCTGGTAGTATTAACTGTTTCTCGTCTATTATCTCGTCTATTTTTCGTTCATTTTCTTGACATTTCTTTGTCAGTTACTGACTGCTTGTTACTAATTGGTAGATTCAGGACCTTGTCAAAAGCTGTTGGAAATAGTTGTAAGAAGCCGGTTAGTTCTATTTTTTTCCCCTGATAAGATAAGACATTATGATCACCAAAGATTAGTATGTAAGGGACGTGTAAGTTTGTCTCCTGATGAGAGCTTTAGTTATTCTAGCTAGATATACATGTACTAGA